GGATGTATTCTTCTTGAGTAGTCAAACGTTTCACTCTTTTCGAAAGTTTTTAGTCACTTACTCTAACTTCCCCTCCTTCCACATTTTGTATCAAAAAGTACTCTCTGTTCGAAAAATGGCTTAATGATAATAATTCTAGTGAAATCTCATTTATACCATCACTAATTTCAAAATACATCGGTATTTTACTTTTCCGAAACGATGACAAAAAGACGTGTGAAGATTAACGCATATGATATTCAACAAAGTGATTAAAAAAGAGAGTTTTTTGACACCAAGTATAAATTATAAATGGTGCATTAACGCATGTCTTTTTAACACGAGAATCATTCTTTAATGTAAATGACAAAAACGTAAGTTAAATAATATTATTAAACTTAATTCACTCGTCCACAATCAAATATTGTTAAGAAATTTAATTCGATAATTCTATACGTATGATATCAATCAGACTATTTGAAAAATAGTCTTGATACTTTTCAAAACATCAAAGAAGTCCGTTTTAAATTGAATAATAATTCTCATGTTGAAAAGACATACGATGCACCATCTATAACTTGTAGTTGATGTCAAAAAACTTTTTTGTTGAATGCTATATGCACTAACCTTCATGTCTGCTTGTTCTCATTTCGGAAACGAAGTAAAATTAAACTGCTCATTATATAGAAGAGTTGAAGGCTAAAATATTTCTTTGATATCAGTAGATGACTAGTACATTTACGAAAACAAATTTCAGCCCGTATCTGGTTGTTTTTTACCGAGATACAAAAACTTCAATATTACTGTGACTCCTTCTATAAGCAAACAAAAAAAAAATTTATAACTTTTGAAAGAAGTCACATGTGTACAAATCCTTTTAGGCTTTTTCATAGAACAATATTCTCTGATGACAAGCTTAATATCATTGAAAACGGAGATAAACGCTTGGGAAGGTTCCGTTGTAAGCCCACTGAGAGTTATGAATCATGGACAGATCAATATTGATCCATTCTACTTCGAATGAGAATCTTTTTCCTTATTTTCATTTGGTTCCTATTAGTCACTATTTTCACAAAATAGTTTTACATCATAGAGAAAAATCCTCATGACTAATTTCAAAATCAAACATTTTGTATTTGACTATATTATGTTGGAGAGAAACAATATTTCTGCTATATTCAAACGGGAAAGGTTCAATAATTTTATTCCTTATGCTATAAAACTATGCTTTTGAAGAACTGTATTAAACACTAGTAGTACAACCATACTTGATAACATAAGAATATTACTCTTTTCCAGCTTAGTATTTTTACCGCTATTTGAAAAAAAAACTTGAACTCGCAAAGAAAACGTTGAAAAGTTGCTAATCTTGACACTTTCTTAGTATTTATCGTGTCATGAAGTACAACGCACTTTTAATAAAAATATCAGGTTCAATACGAAGCACAACTTGGTCTGAAGTTGACAACAAATCAGATATTTTTTTTCGTGTTATATAATAGTATTTTGAGATCACAGTTTTTATTCAAACACTGTTTAAACAGATAGTATTACTATCTGTTGTTTAAAAATGAGAAACGTATATGAATATATACACTATTCTTTTGATTATACAGGTTATAGATGATTGAAAAAAGTGTACTTTTTTTTTATCGAACATCTGTTATAGCTCTTTACCTCTCTTCATAGTTCTTGTTCATATTCTTTCATTTATAATAGTAGATAAACGCGCTGTTAGCTCAAAACTTTGTACTTACATGTTCTTTTGTTATTAATCATCTGGTGTGTTTGAATGAAAAAGTTTTTCCGCCCAAAAAGAAGTGAACACACGTAGAACAGAACACTTAAACGCACATCTTATTAATTTGTTATTATTATTCATTCACAAAAATTTTCTCAATCTCATCATTTTTCCTACTCTTATTTAATATAGTCTATATCCAATATATGGAGAAAAGAAATGAAAGAAAAAGTTTTTCATCTCTAGCATTTCTTACAGCAGAACATTCAACGTTCAATAAACAAAAAAGGATCTGTCGACGTTAGAAAAATCAACAGAAAGAAAAAGAAAACAGAATACAAAAACTTCCATAAAACCAGTCTGTTATTCAAATTGAATTAGAGAAAAAAAAAGAATATAACACTAATTCTGTGTGTTTTGCTGAAAACATTAGAGAGAGAAAGACAATTGTAACCTTGATCTGTTGTTGCAAAAAAAGTAGATATAAGAATGCCTTACTATGATTAACAAGAATAATCATCAAGTCTTTTTTTAGTGTGAGGGCGTAATCCTGTTGACTATATACGCATTAAATCTTGTATTTCAGGCATTTTTAATGAATATAAAACCGCCCTGGAATTGTTTGTCTGAATCGAATTAATAAACCGTTCTGGTTCTTCTGATATTGTCTCAATAAATCAAGGAAAATTTAGTCTAATAGTTCAAAATAACACTTACGTGGAAAAATTGTCTTTGTTACCATCGTGTTTATCTTACTATTCATACCAAAGGGAAAAACAGACATTGGACTTTTATGAATTTAATGGACTTAGATGAACTTTTAAATCTGTTCGAGTCCAAATTCCAATGGGCTTCTATGGGTTTCTAAAGTCAATTAGACTTTATAAATGTTGCAAAGGTCATAAAAGTTCACATACGTCCATCTAAATCCACGCAAATCTCTAAAAGTTGTGCAAGTAGATTCTTAAAACTTCTTCTCTTGTAAATCTCTTGGATTTTAGGGACTTATGTGGATTAGATATACTTTGAAAATCCATAATTGAGGTTTAAGTCTACTTTTCCCCTATAGATTCATATAGAATGATGTAGATAATTTCGATTAAAAACGGCATGAATATCGCGATCAAGAGTTTACAAAAATGAGAAAGATTCTCAATATTTCTAATATAAAGAAAGTCATGTGATTTTAAAAAAAGGAAATTTTTCCTATCCTTTTAACGGATAAAAAGCTTTTGATTTTTTAGCAGATCATATACACCGACAAAATTTTCTAAATTCGACGATATCAAAGAGCGAATTGATGGCTTTTCATAGAAATAATAATAAATGTATACAGTATATATGAATAATTGTCTAACATCTATAGAGTACTGAGGGGCGTAACACAAAATGCCTTAAATTAAGCTGCCATTTACTGGCTGTTAACGAATCATAAGCGAAAAACTTTTTTTAGACTTTTTTCAACGTTAGCGGACCATTGTTTGATGAACGTTTCACAAAGAAGTCTTATTTCTGACTTTCTTCCTCAAAAATACTTTTTTTGCCATTTTTTTATTTTTTCGGTTTTTTAATCTTTGGTATCACTTAGCACTAATTCTAACCCCAAGGTACTATCTTTAGTACCAAACCCAGGGAGGGCTACTTCTTCTAATCAGGTTTCGTTGAATTCTATATAGGAAGAAGGGAAGTTCTAAGTTATTAGAAGAGAAATGTATCCTACCAGTGATAGCAACAGAGGTTAATGACTTGCCGACTAAACGGCGTGAAAACGGGAGCTATTAACGGAATATTTTTTCACCAATATAAAACGATCCGATTATGGCCTACCATCTGGATTCCATTCTGTAACACCAGTAATCGATCTGTTTTTAGATCGTTAATAGACGTTCCTGGAACTAGCAGTTTATGATAACGTTAACGGACCGTCTTTATACCGTTTTTACATCATTAACGGATCATTTTTTTGGGTGATGGTTAATGGCCGGTTCGCAGATACCCAGGACGTCGAAAATGGTGTAATTAATGGCCAATTATGTTTTTAATTTAAAAAGATTAAAGACCTTCTAATAATAAACATTTGATAGACATTAATAGACATTTAAATGGCATTATTTGGCCGTTTTTTGCCATTATAATTGGGAATATTTTAATGCCTTAAAGTAACATTTATTTAAATGGCAAAAAATGGTCTAAAATAGATGAGCGTTACAGTAAAACCAAACTAGACGGCGTCGTTTTAATTGATACCGTCAAAACTACTATTTACCAAATTTTCTCCATTTAATGTCTTCTGAAGCCTGAGGTACTATCACCCGTATCCACCTCAGAACGCTTCCTCGAGACAAGTTTCTATGACTCGGACAATTGAAGAAGAGAAAAATTCTAAATTTCTTTATATTAGAAAAATCAGTATCATTTATACTAGTCATGATGGCAAAATAAAACGGCGAATAGCTTGATGACCCTAAACTGGCTGTTAAATGCCAGTTTATGACTAGTTTTTTGTCATTTTGAAATGGAAAAAAAAGCTGCCTCAAAACGGACATTTAACAGGCACATTTATTTGATATTAGTTAACGGTCTGATAAATGGACAAAAATGTCATTTAATGGTGTCCGAAGAATGACATTTTTTCGGACATTGACTGTAATCTAACATTGTTTTCATCGTTATTGCAAAGTCAAAAAAAAGTCATTATAACGACTGTTAAATATCAGTTTTTATTTGATTTTTACACAATTAACAGATCATTTTTCGTCCACCTGGATAACAGACCGTTAACACACTAGTATAAATGACCTGGGAACTTAAGCATATCTTACACTTAGATTAATATGAAACTATATCATTGACTTAAGATTTTATGTGATACGGATCCCCATCTTTAACTTGATCTTAATTTAACTTTAAGATATACTTAAGTTTATAGCTTCTCGATCATTTCAACAAATTTTTTAAATTCTTTTAAAAATTCATCACCATCGTCTGGTTTTACTTGGTAACATTGCTGCAATATAAGTTTTCTCTCTTTCTCACGTAATGTAAAATATGTAACTGAGTGTCGCCATTCTCTACTTGATAAACTTTAAAAAAAATGCTATATATAGAGGAAATCTACTTTTTTTCTACTAGTTGGCCTTTCTAAACCAATCATATAGTATCCGACTATCGTATAATTTTACCACTGCTGCTATGCTTATTTATACTTGTAAATAGTCATAAATCGGCTGTTATTTTTTACTTGAAATATTTCAATATAAACTTTTCCTTTCCACTTATCATGATCGATAGTGGTTTTGAAAGTGATCGTAGTATGGATCGTAGTAATTCGATTGATAATAACTCTAAACTATCATCATCATCGTCAGTATCCTCTCTATCAAAAATTCCTCCGTTATCAACGTTTTATTCGTCTAATGAACAATTACAAAACCGTGTTGATTCACTTTTACAAGAAAATCATGTTTTAAAAATTGAATTAGACATGTATAAATTACGTTTGAAATCTACTCTGTCTAATATTGAAAATTTAAAAAAATCAACATTCATAAAACATTTGGAATCTGAACAAGAGGAAGAATATCGTAGTAATATATTGTTTAAACAAATCAATGAATTAAATTTAGATATACAGAATGAAAAACAACAACAACAAAGTAAATATCATCAATCTTCTGTATAAAACCATTTATCCTAAATCTAAGGTATTCATTTAACTTCCTGGCATTTGTCACACCGATTGTGACTAAGAAACAAATTATCAAATAAATTTTTTTTAATCCTTTAACCAGTGTCGATGGGAAGAAGTAAAGGATCATTTCTATCTGTTCTTATTATTTGTTAGATACGTCGATGATCACCAGTGACAAAGGTCAAAATCAACAACTACGAGAAGATGATGTTAAAAAATTATTAAAACAAGAACAAGAAGAATTAGTAGTGAAATTAAGTAGTAAAATTAAATATTTAGAAGCTGATATGAAACAAAAACAACAACAATTAGATTATTTACAACATGACAAATGTAATTTAGAAAATAAACTGGAACAAAATGAAGAAAAATTAGTGAATAAATTAATTAAACAATTAAATAAACTTGAAATTGAAAAACATTTATTACAAGATAAATTAAATGAAAAATATGGCGAACCAACAACGATGTCATGTTCGTCATGTTCATCATTAATAGTCGATGATAGTGTACCAGTGCCTCTAATAACAAAACGAAAAGATAATCAAAGACGATTAAAACTGGAAAAATTTTTGAATAAAACAAAAATCATTCAACAAGAACCACAGGACACCAAAGAAAAACAAAGGTGCTAGAGATAATTACTATTTCTTACTGAGGAGAATTTTGTCCTTTACTTCAAAATATAAACTAATCTGATTTTAACCTTCATATATTTTCTTATTTAGAGAAGATTCTGTTGACAATGGAAATGCTGATGAATTAGAGTCTGAAGTTGAACGCTTAAAAACCGAAATAACTGATTTATTACAAATACATCGTAAACATTTAGAAATTCATGCTAAACAAGAATGTGAAATGCGTGCAGAAAATATGTTGCTGTCTCGTCGTTTACAATATGAAACTGATCGTCGTCAATCAATGTATCATTCATTGTCAGAAAGTGAAGCATCATTGGAAATAAATGATGAACATTTTATTAATACACAAGATCATCGAAAAAATTCTCTAAATAGTTTATATCATCAACAACAACCTTATCGAAATCGCACCGTATCAAGTCCCATAAGTGATTGTAGTACTGCAGCTGTGACAATGGAACGTTCATCATCATGGCAACGAGGAGTGACGAATTCAAACGATAGACGTCAGAGTCTTATACAACCGTTACATAATGCCATGGACTCGAATGGATCGATTCATTCATTGAAAAAGTAGAAACAATTTTCGAATAGATGTTGTGCAATATATTTCATGTTGGGTTTTTTGTATATAGAAAACTTGTCACAGATAGACAAAGTATCTCTGTTTTGTGCTACCAGAGATGACTCGAGGAGACAGATCTATCTTGTAGAATCGACAAATGCTACAATAAAATATTGGGTGAACATGTTTTCGATACGATAAAATTTGAAACCAAAACTTATTGATATATAGAAGATTTCTGCAGATCATTAAACACAATATAGACTATTGCGATACTCCTCTGCTCATTCACAAACAAAGAAAGAGAACAGTTGAAATCTGTCTTTTTTTCGCCTAAATGAACTTTAAAAACTTGATTTCATGTCCTGTTAGCCAGAAAATATCAGTAATGTTTCAGATAAGATCAAGACCCAAATGATACGCTATTGCTTAAATTTGCAGGTAATATAGTAAATTCGAATAGAAAACTCTACTCTTCTTAGGAACACAGGAAAATACTTATAAATCCAGCAACTAAAGATTTAACAAAGTAACTCTTTCTTTCGTATATACATAGTCTAGCAGAATAAAGTGTTCTCTTCACAATAAGACCATTTCCGGAGAATTTTAACTGGTTCTCGTGGAGATATGAGCATCACCGCAATTGCTCTGCAAAAAGTGATCGATAGATGGTTCCAATTCAGTCACGTTATGATCTCTCGAAACAATGATCCGATAAAATCTAGATCTTTATCGCAGGTTCTAAACTTTTTTAAAACGTTTTTAATTTCAACTTTCATCTTGAGAAAGTTTTTAGAATCAAAAATCGACTTTTTACACAGACTGTTCAGCATTTTTCGAGAATGAAAGCACATTATTTTATTTCTGAGATAGGACCTAAATTATCTGTGATATAACTTTGGGATTGATCGGGTCGTGGCTCGGACTGGATGAAAGCCGGGGCCTCAGAAAACTCATAGAAGAACATGAAAGACAATTCTATGCAAAATACGTCGATTTTCTTTTTCAGTGTTCTATTTCTAAGAAAAATTTGGAAAAAAATCGAATCATTTCGTGGAACAATTGGTTTTTGGAATCAGTGATGCTGATTGCAAGTTAATAAATAATGCTGTAAGTAGAAAGTTTATGATACGTCTACGTTTTAAGTATACAATAGTTTCTTCTACATCGTTTTCCATATGACAAGATCTGATATGAAATACGCTGTTGTTATAAACAAAGATCATTATCATTTATTACAATGTGACACATTTTTACATCTTGTTGAACAACTTAAAATACCTTGAATACCTTAATCAATAGTCATTCTAGAAGAATCAGGGAGATATTTTGTTGGAAAAGCAAAAGCAGCTGATGCATAAACTTTGATTAAGTTTTTTGATACTAATTTGTTTTTGATAGGTTTGTACTTTCATCACACCAATGTTATTTTGATAGCGATATTTTGGTAAAAATCTACTTTCTAGAAATTATTCTACAGTTATTGAGAGAAAAGTCAGAAGCTAAAATGTATATTCATTATTATCTGTGAAAAGAGATATTGTTAATTGAAAACAGATTATGACTTTTTATCAGCAATTTTTTCCAATTACAATGTAGACAACTCATATTACTACAGAATTTTTCCGTAATAGTTTATTAATAATCCAAAATAACATAAGAAATTACAGAAAATATACAAAGAGAATACAAGAATTGATTGTATAGTTAAATAAATATGAAGCAAACTGACTGACGTTGTCCTTTAACAAAAATATATGTGAATGACTTTTGAAAAACAACAAAAATGACACTCAATTTATTCGCTTTTATGTTTCTTTCTTTTCTTTTTTTTCTTAGTCGATTTCTCTTTGTCGATTTTTTTTGACTTTTTCTTCTTGTGTTTTGATTTTTTAGCATTTTCAGTACTTTTTTCCTCAAACTGATCTCTTGTTTCTGACAATGACGAAGACTTAGATCGATGTCTTTTTCGTTTAAGTTTTCCACGATCTGCTGATGGTAATCGATAATTGTTTTTTGTAGATGTCTTTTCTCTTCCATTTCTATGGTGGTCATCAAACGACGAAGGTCGTTGAGAATGAGAATGATGGTCATTTTGATAAGCTGATGTTTTGTAATAACGAATTTTCGGATTTTGAAATACGTGTAAAAAATTACATCGACGACCTTTTGGACATTTGCCATAACGGAACAAACCTCAAAGAATAAAGAATAACCGTTTTATGATATACGCGTGTACTCAAGAAAATTAGGTAAAATGAAAAATAAAGAGTAAATGTTGTACAGTCAGTTTAGCGGATGAGAATCAAAGTAGACGAGCACGAGTGCAACATGGCTTCTCACAACACAAACTAGGATGATTTAGTGTCAACTAGACATGCACTGTCACCGGGATACTGATATTTTGTTTTCAAACTATTTAGATGCGTTTTAAATTGCAGTCTGTTGTGGAGAACTGCTTTTCTGTGTAGCTTGGTGGAACTGAACGAAAAGTACGTATCATTCGTTCTACACTCGGTGTGATGTATGAGTAATCAACTTCTCAAAATAGTGATACAGAACACTAGTATATTCATTAGACAAACAAATGGTACACTGTAGAAGAAATTGCATCTCCAAATAGATATCTTATTTTTCAATAAAATAATATATCCTCGATACGTTTTATTATTATCTTCTAGAGAGATCTTTTAATTATACTTGATTTATCCGATAACTTATCGTTTTTACATAACGTAGGGCATGTGAATTCGGTTTATTTAACCCTCTCAACGTATAGGTATGAAGCACTGTCGACATTGATTCACTATGGACTCCCTGAAAGTAATCCTATCCTGATGGTTCTTTTAACAATGATCTTGGAGTTGTCTATTTTACGATTTATACAAGATTAATAATAAGTATTAATTTTATTGAAACCTGTTTGGAGACATAATTTCCCATTTATTTGTCTAATAAATATACTACTGTTACTGTATCACTATTTTGAGAAATTGATTACTCATACATCACACACAGTGTAGAACAAATGATACTTACTTTTCGTTCAGTTCTAGCGAGCTACACAGAAAAGCAGTTCTGCACAACAGTCTGCAATTTAAAATAAAGCTTTTCTCAACGGTTAGAAACCTCCAATCAAACACATTTGTTTTGGTTACAACTACAAAATGCGAATATTTTTAGCGATATTCTCTACTTTCTACATACCACAAATAGAATTTTTCCAGTTTGTGATATTAACAAATTCACATTGTAACATTTTTCCACCATAAAAGCGCCCATTCATTCGTTGAAATGCACGTACTGCTTCATCGTCCCTACAAAGAAAAAAAGGGAAAAATCGTTGCTTTTTCTCCCATAGCACAGTTTTAATCGTAATACGTACGTTTTAAATTGTACGTAAACATTTCCTCTTAAATGTATTTCAAAATTTGAACAAACTTTAAATTCAACAACGTGTCCAAATGCTTCAAATTCTGGTAGAACATCATAATAAAATTCTTTAAAATTTTGATAACGTTCAGATTCTTCAAATTCAAGACCAATATCTACACAAAATAAGAACACCTTTAATTATAAACAAACTAAAATATTTTCTTCGTTTCACCTGCATCATATTCGTCATCAAGACCATATTGCATTTCAAAATTTGAATACATATTCAAAAGTAAAATCGTATTGCTTACATCTGGTCGATCATGAAAACGAGAACATCTAAACAAAACAAATATAGATCTAAAACATCTGTTCCTAGATCATGGTTAGATTATTCGTATTGACAATTACCTTTCATTATATTTACATACGCCCGTTTTCAAAAAAAATGAACATTTCGGTCTTTCAATACCAGCAATACCAGACGCGAATGGATTATGCGTTGGTTGATCTTCTAATTGCTAAAACAAAGTAAAATAACGAATGAAATCAGAAAAAAACTTTAGATATCTTTACTCATACCTGGCCAATAACAGCTGTTGGCTTTTCTTTTTCAATTTGAATCTAAAGTATAAAAAGTATCGTGAAAAAACGAGAGGAAAATAAAGTCAGAAACTCATTACTTTAGATGCGGATGTTCTAGTTGATTTAATTTTCAAATTCGATGTCTTCGTTGATAAAGCATGTACTGTTTTAGCTTGTTGCTGTTGTTGTATTTTGGCAGCTTGTTCTCTCTTCTGTTTCGCTTCCCATTGAATTTTTGCTAAGAGTTCACGTTCATGCCATAGTTGACATTTCCTTTCACTTTAATAAAATAAAATAGGCTAGTCTCACGGGAAGATCAAACGGTACTTAAAACTGTTGTAAAATGATTCTTACTCTATTAATGCATCACTTACTTTTCTTTTTCCTCTTCTAATTCTTTTTTTTTTTGAATTTCTTCTTGTTGTGCCAACCCTGCTTGATATAACGGATCTTTTGAACGTTGATCTTCTTCTAGAAAAGATAAAGGAAAACACAAGATAGAAGATACTTCCAACTTATATTGATTATTTAGTTTTACCGATTTGGATTTGTTCATCACGTTTTCTGGCAACTACTTGTCGACGTATTTTGCGTTTTACTTTTTTTATTATTGTACGATAAATTTTGTGGCTTCAAAAAGAACATGTGTATGGATGTAAAAAAATAAGTTAAAGAAAAAACACAAAAACAAAAAAAGCTAGATAGTTCTTTTTCGAACTTTACACAAAACACATTCTGGGCAAAGGATATTTTTTAGCCATACGCCGTACTTGAATTTTGTTTCCGTATGATCATGTTTTTGTTTAGCAATTTGTTCTTGAATAATTTCGTGAAACTTGGCGTTATCAATTACCAATGACATGGTCTGGTAAAGAAAAGTTCTGTTTTAGACCAATTATGTCCATCTACTTAATGGAAACGATGTACTCTAAAATGCAATACATTGTCTTTCAAATCTATATTACTCACGTATAGTCTACAAGAAACCTATTTTCTAAAGAATATTTTCTATAACAAGCCAAACAATGTTTTTCTATTGAAAATGTGAAGTAAAATGTGTTTGTACACTTTGACTTAGTATGTAAGGCGTATTTACACACTATTTTCAACACAAATGTGTAAAAGTTCCGAAAGTTTAAAATTTGTGAAGGTATAGTATAACTAGAAAGAGCTTAAAACTATTTGGGACTAATCAACCAACATTTGAATTAAAAACACAAGAAATAAAAAGAATACGAGTAATAAATACAGTCAGAGTTTTGTTGACACACACACTAGTTGTCAAACACAATTAATTGAATGCTTATGGGGTCAAGCCAAAACAAAAATTTTGAGAGCAGTACATGAGTCGACATTATTGGACGTTCATTAAATAAATTTTGGTATCGATCGGTGCACAAGTACATGTTTTCATCTATATTAACAGATATTCATCGCTTTCGCATGTAAATTTTTTTATTTGTACTTTCGTTCTTTTTGTGTGCTTTTTTTGGTTTCTGTACTACTTTTTGTTTTCCTTATTATTTATTCTTTCATTTTTGCATCAAAAAACTCGAACCAGAATCTTACTCAATCTTTTCACCATAGGGGAACACCAAATAGGTATGGGGAGCATCAGCTTTATTGTCGCCATATTTTTGGGCGAGTACTTGCTAAAGGAATAGCGCGGGTCAGAATGATGAGCGTTGCTTTTTTACGCTATGTGAAAAAATGTACACTTTGCTTGGCATCTGCTGTTAATATTATAGGAATAAGATAGTAGCCGCCATGATAAAACATTGAAAACCGGAAAGAATAACTGATAGGTTTCTGAACTAACCATAGACGAATTCGAGTTGATTATGCAGATGAAGTGGCCGTCGTCATTTAACGAGAAAGTACTGTGAATATTTTTTACTACGTTTTATCTCAGAATTCGTTAACTTCAGATAACTGAGAAACGTCTGTTTGCTTGATGCACTAAATCACGCCATTTTTTTCGCCTAATGTATTTGTTTCCTGCATGTTCATCATCAACACCTACCACAACCTTGAAAAATTTTGTTGTTTTTAGCTCAAAACTCATGACCATGAACACGTTCTTCTACATCACGCTGATTTTGTATTCACTTCATTTATAGATCAGCTTACTTTACTGTCGTCGATTCTCGACAGTACAGTTTTCTATTTGTTCGAAGCCGAGTGATTTGATTTATTTTCTACAGCGTACTCCTTCGTCTCTCACAACGAACCAAAAAAATTCTAAAAAATGCAACAAGGTGGTCAGAGTCTTGTTGATCGGCTGTTGGCAGCAAAAAACACAATTGCTGGTCAAGCTCTAGCAAAAACAGTGTGTAAAGCAACAACGGAAGAAATAATGGGACCAAAACGCAAGCATCTTGATTGTAAGCTTTCACACTAAACAAATTAATGTTGGATCCAAGCCTGGAGATGAACGCTTAAGAAATGCGAGAGGATTTATAGGATTTAGTTTACTATATAATACACTTTTTACTCTGTGACTGCTTGTTTGTATTCATCTATATAGCTACGCTACGGGGCAGAGTTTCCTGCAGGATCAAATGAATGAACTTTCATTTATTTTTCTTTCTATAGTTTTATTACAAGCCACAAATGAAATGAATGTATCAATTCCGCAGTTGGCTGATCTCCTGATTGAACGAACTCAGAATTCCAGTTGGGTAGTTTCATTTAAATCATTAGTGACTATTCATCATTTGATGTGTTTTGGAAATGAGGTTTGTTAATTGTTAGCTTCAAGAGATAAAGTGTTAGTTTATTCATTTTGTTGTAGCGTTTCGAAGCGTACATGGCATCGCATAATCATCGTTTACAACCGGCTGTTTATCTTGATCGAATGGGAATGCCGGGTATGTTAAAAAATTGTATGAAAAGTTGTTATTTTTTATATTCTATATTGTATGTAGGACTGGATATGTCGTCATATATTAGACGTTATGCAAGTTACTTGAATGCAAAACGTGAATCATATAAACTGATGGGCTATGATTTTTGCAAAGTTAAACGAGGGTAGGCTTAGTATATTTTCGGGGTTTTTCTCACTTCCAGCTAGTCAAATTGATCGTTTTCTTCTATTATTAGAAAAGAAGATGGTGTACTACGAACAATGCCTACAGAAAAAGTACTTCGTTTACGATGTACTATTTATAAAACTGAATCTTTTTTATTTATTCTTATAGTTGCTAAAAGCATTGCCAATCCTCCAGTGTCAACTAGACTCATTGCTTGAGTTTGATGTAAGTTATCCAAAATGCATAACTATTGTAGACAGTCAAATTTATCTGTTTTCTACGCTTCGTATAGGTGACGCCCAACGAATTAACGAATGGTGTTATTAATAGTTGTTTTTTCTTATTAATAAAAGATTTAATACGCCTTTTTGCAGCGTTTAATGATGGAATGATTAATTTACTGGGTAAGAATAGTTTCTATAACTATAACTTGTATAAGAAGATGTACGAGATAATCTGATCCAACGTTAAAAAGATAAGAATAAAAAGGGGTTGACTTTTGATTGCCAGTATGCACAGGTTTCTAAACTGATATGATAGTATACTGGTGAAGGCAGTGAAGAATTTAGAGTAATCCCTTTAGTATATTGAATTAACTGTTAAACCCTTTGAACGTCCTTCTTTTTTTATCGTTTAGAAAAATATTTTGACATGAATAAAAAACAGTGTCGCGAAGCATTGGATATTTATAAAAAATTTCTTGATCGGACTGATAAAGTATCAAATTTTTTAAAAGTGGCCGAGGTAAGTCATACACCGATAGTTAATTATGATTAGTGAGACAATAAAACCAAAGTGGATGGTTTTTTCTGTCTAAAAATAAGTAACAATACATATGTTAGCGTTACAGTGACTTATTCGGTCGTATCTATGGACAGGTAAAATTTGACACTTGTCTTATGCACATATACAATGATTTTCTTATGTTTTGTTGCATAAGCTCATTTCTTGCTTTCGTGTTCAATCAAATCTTGCAATTCAAAATATTCTTTCTAACTAACGACAATTGAAATCTTATTAACCATGGACGGACACCTCTGATAGTGACAAACAATTCTACAATTGTTTTAAATTAATTCATATCAACTTTTTATTCTTCCGGAAGACTAAAAAGATAAATTTCATTATTATACTGTAAAACTTTAGCACTCGAAAAATACAAGATCAGTCAATTAGTTCGAAGTCAAACTTAAATTCATATGCTCGGGTACGACGTATTCATACAAAATTGAAAAAAGACATTAAGATACACAATAGAAAGCACTCGATTCGAGTGATTCAAAATATATTAGTTTTGTTTTATTTTTCTAGCAGTTGAAACAGTTGGCATTAAGTGTTTTAGAGGGGAAAAGTCGAGTATGTTGCACGAATAAAAATTGACATGATGAAGCGTGTTTCGCATGGAAATGGAAATATCCGCTTCTTTTTTGAGGCTTTGAAGGTTCCATTTTTTTTGTCCTTTAATGCGCGATTCTCCCGGACTATATTTTTATATTTGCATTACCAGACCAATATATGTGTATATGTATATTTTTTCCAGCAATTATCTGTTTATGTGTATCAGGTTTGTTGTTAGAAATATGCACGGTCTAAACTGGAACAGGGATTTGTTTTTTTATTTTAACTGCTCTAACATCTAACATTTAAAAAGCGGGAATTGTTCTAATCGTAATATGAAAAAGAGAAGAGAGACTAGCCTCGTGTTTGTGACTATGATTAACGCAGAAGAGTAAATTTTGTTTATCATTACGATAGACATTTGTTGTCTAGTCCCATCGATTTCTGCTTAGATATTTGTTATAATAGTGCGGTGCGATGCAGATTTTCTTTTTTATTAACCAGCTGTTTAATTTTGCTATATTTTATTCGTTCTGCATACTAACTTTCGCGTATATTAATTTGTTTATTCTATTCTATTTATTTATCTATCGTTTAGACATCTGGAATGGAACGAAGCGAAATTCCTGATTTATCACGAGTAAGTTTCATTGAATTTATTCATTTAAATCTTCTCATGCTAAAGACATTCACTTACTCCATTCATCATTGTACAGCGTATAGATGAAAATAATCCTGTAAGTAAGAATATATATATATATCGATATGGTTCGGGCTTGGGTGCATGACAGGTTTTCTAATCTATTTCTTCAACTTATTTGGGTAAGGGCGCAAGTTATTTTAACATCAATAACTTTTTTTCTTTCCTTTTTAGGCGCCAAGTAGTTTATTAGAAGCACTTGAGAATCATTTGTCACACTTAGAAGGCAAAAAAATTACTTCATCGTCTTCGATATCCAGGTAAACTCTCATGGTCCCCTTATTTTCTAAGTTTCATATTTTAATCCTCTATGTGTATTTGTAGGCAACAAACTGAACTAGATTTGAAAAATTTTTCACGTGATTTCATCTTTAATGATAACGATGATCCACAAAAAGTTCTTGAAGAAGAAGCAAAAGCATTGGCACAATTTAATAAAGTATGAAAAATATCTTTTTATTTTGCACTGTAGAATTAGTCTGCTTTGCTCAGCAATCTAAATAAGATTTAAATTTAGAATATAGTCTGATTATTATATTTTGTTGATATTTTCTTTGAATCTGATGAAGTGTTTTCTATTTTTGTAGAATAAAGAACATTCCTTATCATCCTCACCGCCAAATTCAAATGGTGGTGATTTTTTCCAGCAGCATCAATCAAAACAACAGACGACAAACGGTCATCATCAACAACAGGCAACCGCTTCATCTTCAGTAACAGATTTATTTTCGCTAGCATCTCCAACATATTCTCAACCATCTCAAACAACATCTCTCTTTAATTCGACTCCATCAACAGTACCTATGCAACAGTTTTCATTTCAACCATTTGCACAACAACAGCAACCATTTGCACAACAACAGCAACCATTTGCACAACAACAGCAACCATTTGCACAACAACAGCAACCATTTGCACAACAACAGCAGCCATTTTCACAACAACAGCAACCATTTTCACAACAACAGCAGCCATTCAGCGTTCTTGATGCAGCACCAGCGAGTAGTAAGTTTGTTCAGTTCTCTAATTTAACGTAGATAAAAATATCGTATCAGTGAATTTCTCAAGAAGTAACGAGTCAACGAAGTATTCTTATACATCGAGAAGAACAAAAAAAATTTGTTGAATTTTCCACTCCAGATAAAAACCTTATAGGAAGGCCCAGTACTGGGTACGTTGCTGGTAGATGACGGTTCGAAAATGTTTTAAACACACTTAAAATCGATGCATTACTATGATGTGTGAAATAAAGGGATGGTTATACTCTCTTATTTAAGCTGATGATGATATTAATACTGCTTCTACAGAAGCATCTGGCACAAACAATACTGAAGGTAGAAAAATATCCGTATCTGTAGTACGTTATTTTGTGTAGTAATTATGTTTTGTATGTATTGCATGAACTATCATCATTTTATTAATATCAAATCGCAAATTCGTTCTCTTTAAAGAATATACAAGTTTTCTTGATCAATTTAATGTTGTAGAGAATCAATTTGTTTCAGAGAGTTTTATGTTATGTTTAATGGATATTTTTCAACATTATTCCATTCTCTGTCTATCGTATTATGTAAAGGTGTTGGTCATTACTCAGAAGATCGTTCTCGCTTAAAATTCTTATTTTTTTTGTTAAGTTCCGTCGATGTAAGTTATTTTATGTATCACGCTGTACACATGCACGCATTGTTTTACAAATAATGTCACCGTACTGTTCTAGTTATTACACTATTTATTACATTAAAATAATAACAAAGACTTTGTCTTGTTTATCTATTTTAGCAAACTTTTTTAATGATATTCTTCAACCAACAAATGTAGCTTCAACAACGACTCAAGTAAAATCAAATGTACCATTATTTCCGACTAATAACGTACCGTCAGCAACAGCAAATATAAAACCATTAAATTCTGATCTAAACTCATCGTTAAGTCAATTGATTGATAATTTAGATATTAATAATCGAACCACGGTACTCAAGTAAGTGCTGAAAAAATAAGTTCCTTTTTACAATTTGTCGATCACATTTTGTTTGTTTCAGAAAAGATCATCAGTGGACAGCTAGTGATGTTAAAAATCAACAAAAAATAGGTGGCTCTAATTGGAATTCGAACATTATGTCATCCTATGCGACACCACCAATGGTTAGAAAACTAAGAAATTAAAAGCGATCTGGATATGTTTTGGATTCTCAATTTTTCTTGCAGGCTACATCACAGCCAGGAGTATGGAACCAGCCAACACCGATCTCAACTAATCCATTCGCTGCTTCAGTGACGGGACCAATGATGGGCGCCCAATCGATAGTAAGTATCTTTTTTTATTAATACAATTTTCAAAGTATTAATATTCATTGGCTGTATCAGAATAGGCTTTGCCATTAAAAGAATGGTTATTTACAAAACTCGAATTATTTATTCTGAGTAAACGACTTGTCATGAAAGACTTATATTCAATTCACTGTACAAATATTTAATTATGTGATAAAATCAATAACATTCGCTTCATATTTACTCTCGATTAATTTGTTTAAAACGTGTTCGATTGAGCGAAAGACGGAAAGAAAAAAACACACTAAAGGTCAAATATGTGGAAAACACACATTCTATTTCTTTCGTATTATATTGAGTAGAAGAAGCGTTGTTTTTTTGTTGTTTACTCTCTTATCGAGACAATATCCTGTTTCCACTATCAAAACAATGATAAAACTATTCAGTAGAAAAATATGAAAGATCATGGATTTCATAATTGTGGTGATGACTAAAAAAAGCGATTTTTTACATGAACAACGAACAACGGAAAACGCCAGTTTTCTGTCCGATAATGAAAGACTCATCCTATTATGAAAATATGTTTAATAAGACTATAAAGACAGCGTTTTTAACTTTATTTTGTAATGAGTATAGTTCAGCTAATATCCTTATAAGTACTTTTGATCATCACTGTCGAACTGCTCCTTACTGGTTTTTTCCCCATAAAATAGACGCAATAATTGTGTTCTTGATGAAGGTGTTGTTTAGAATTTTTCAGTAACTAAATATGTCCTTAAACAAATTGCATTACTGGACAAGGACAACTCCTTCGAGCAAATTTTGATTTTATCTATACTTTATTTGCCATTTTAGACGCAAAAATATATCTTTTTCAAGAAACAGTTGGACATGGACACAAAGAATGTATCCATGCGGGTATCTCGCGCTGCGGAAATGATTGTGGTACCCGTGTCATATTGTTTCTCATTACAGTCATAGAGAGTGTATTGTTTTAGATTCAGCCCACTTTCTAAGCGGATGCGGACAATTTTTTTCTCCGTCCGTTGTCCTTAGTATCGTATCACCGTACATATTTAACCTACAACTTTCATTCTTTTCTCCTTTCTTTCTTGATTCAAGGTGAGTTAAGCGTACAGAAAATAATGTAGAATAATCAATTATTTTAATCTTTCTGATTATAGAGTTTGTATTGAATTTTTTTCCTCCTTTTACGATCGGCATGCAATCGATCTAAGTTATGATACTTTTTATATAAATCAAAAACAATAAAAATGTTAAAAACGTACTTTTAGATGTTTTTTTCTTTTCTACGCGTTCTCTTCCTTTTCATCGTTACAATGTATTGTTACTCCTGAATTAATCAATATTCTCTTGAATCCAATGACTTTTCCATAGTAGCACGGTGCAGCATACTCAAAGTTCGACAAAGAAAACCATTAAACCCTAATTTTCTTTCAATGCCGTTTTGAATAAACAACTTCCTTATAAACTATATCTTGTAATAATCAACTAGATGCATAGGTATATTGTGTTTCGACTACAAATATCCCAAGGACTTCTATATATGAGTAAGGATCATAGTGATGATAGTATGAAGCACATTTTGTGTGTGCTGTGTCTGTCTGTTTGCAAGTGTGTGTTTCTTTCTCTCTCTTTACCAATTGCATTAAAATTTATGTGCATTCGCCTTGGCTTCTTTCTCGTCGCTCAGTTGATTTTCATCTACATAGTGCAAACGGCGTTACTTTACCCCTAAACTTTATTCTGTGCATCTTTTCCCAAAAAGAAAATCAGAATAGCGTATGGTAGACCAATTAAAAACGATTTTTCATTTTAAAAAATACGATTTTAAACTAACTTGAACAAGAAAATGATGAAAAGTTTCAATCTAAAACATAGTAAATGAAAGGCTTGTATTTGTTAGAACTTAGAAGTATGTGTGTGTGAGTATACATGAGAAAACGAATGTATCACCATCTTAATTCTTTAATAAGTTTAATTTCTACACATTCTTAAACATAACATAGTGGAGTTTAAAAATAACCGGAGTTATTGTGGATTACTAAGGATCTGTGCCTGGATTTCAGAACAAATTTGATCCGCTTACCTTTTATCGAGATAATTTATGGTCATCATTTTGTTGACATTGTTGTTTAAAGTTAATAAATAACAGAAATAGACCGGTGTTTTAGGTTTTCGAGGCTCAAAAGTCGATGAAATTGCACAATATTTGACGCAAAAAGACCGATCTTCCTTTTCATGATTGAAATTTCAACCACACATTAATGCGGATTGCAATAAGAAAAGTTCTGAAGTTCAACGAGACGAAGGGACTCTTTCGTGCGCAGTTTTCTATTAACAATAATCCTAAATGACTAGTTTTTAGCGAATGACTAGTTTTTAAATATTGTTTATTTGAAACTCGACATAGAAGCTCACTAATTTGTTGTGCTGAGTTTTTGAGTATGATTGCAGTTCCAAATTTGTCAATCAGCCGACGTTTAATTTTCATGAATTAGCTCAAAACATCCTGATAGGGGAACTTCTATTCTTTTTTACGCTATGTAGCCTATATCATATACCTTCATGATATTGTATTCACTAATAAGTAATTTAGTTAATAATAAGAAATAACTAGTTTCTATCATTCAATTCTAAAATCTTATTTCTAAGTAAAATAATAAAATACCCATGCATTTGCGATGAAAATGTGGAAGAAGCCTTTATTGTATATGAGGCAAATTTATGATAAATCAACGTTCATCTAAATATAAATCAATTGCATACTTTAATTATTTAAAAGGAAGCGTTAAAATATCGAAAAATTAGAAAATGATTTAAGAATGAGTTTTGCTATAAAATAATCTGCTAAAAGATAATAAAATAATTAAAAAATTGTTTTTTTTTAAAGATTTAAGCCAATTTGCACAACATACTGATATATTTCAGGTTGTAGCTGCTTAAATTTGAAGCTACGAAACCGAATGATTTTGCACAGTTAACCGTGAAGGATAAAAAAACGACAGCTGTTTATGTACTAGTAAACTACTTGTTTTTGCGGTAATCGTTCTATGTAACGAATAATTAATAAACGTTTCTTAAGTTTTTTCTTCATTAAATCGTCATGTGTAAATTGAAGCGTACGTCAAGTATTTACTTCATAATGATATAGCACTAACCGATAATTAAGAAACAAAAAAAAGTTGGAGGAAGGAAGCGTCGAACCTGTGCTATTAGATTAAGAAGGAAAAGCCATCAGTTAACTGAAAAAAATCGATAGAACCACGAAAACCGACATGGATAATATGCTGAAGCCACGTAATACTGCAATACTTTCGTATAATTTATTTTTTCAGTATACAAAGCTAATATGGTTTATTTCTCGCTTGTAATTATTAAAAAGATTCAGTTGAAAGTAGTTCTGACTTTATCAACAAAATTGTTTTGGTTCCTTAGGGATCTTTAAAAGTTCAATGATTTTATGACTAACTATCAAATCATTGCATCTGATATTTTGAAAACAACCTTTTTCTTAAGTTTTGCGTAATAAATCAACCAATCGATCTATAAAAGTAGTTATCCAAAATAATACTGCAGACTTCTGTCTATTTTTCTTCTTCCCAATAATTGTTCTAAAGTTATAGTGTTAGTTGCCATCGACTTGGAATGTTGTCGTATCTCATTTTTGTATCAGTCGTTGGTTTTATTGCGTAATAACTAGAGTTAATTGTTCTATCGTTTATATTTGATTAACGTGATTTACTATATTCTTCACTTTGAGGTATTGAAATTAGTTTTTCTTAGAATCATTCGTAATCTTACAACAGCTAAGCATATTTACTGATGATTATTTGTTTTTTTTCTTTTGTATTGTAGAATACGGGCTTTGGTCCACGACCAATGGGAAATACAACAACCTATCCGATGTCATCCACTCATACGAATCCGTTTGCTCCACAACCACAATCAAACATATTCGGTAGTTTACCTCAACAACAACCTCAAACAACAAAGCAACAAACAATTAACGATCTATTTGGATAAAAATTTATTGTTTATAAAATCAAAAACTGTATAGCTTTAGAAACTCACTGACCGACTAAATCAAAAAATTGAAGCTTTTGCGTTAATCCTCCTTTATTATGTGCAATTTTGTTTGTTTGTATACATTCCACGTTTAGAGTTTTTCCTCTCTATATTTTCCTTATTATTGTTGTGGTTGTGTCTAGTCACAGTTACTCGCTCTCCACTTTTCTTCTGACAGCACACTTATAGATGAAAATATCTAATTTGATCTCGTCTTATTGTTAACCCAAGTATAAATATTTTTCTTTTATGTGTTTGTCGTAAATATTTTGATTTTTTAGTGTTATCTCTCTTCTTTCTTGCTCTTCTTTTTTTTTTTCGTGCACATTTTTATTTATTAAATCTAATAATTTAATCAATCATGCACCTCTATTTATCGACCTTATTTTTTATGTGTCCGGTTTGGTGAGAATATTTTTTTTGTGTTTGTGCTATTAAACAACAACTCACTCACACATATAGAGAAAAACAAAAAATTTATAACATTTTTTTTTTGTTTGTTGGTGATTTTACCTTTGTTAAAAAAATTTATTAAACGGTGTCGTATATAGAAAAGAGGCTAATTTCTTGTTACAATATCAAAGAGAAAAGTAAATAAGAACGATATGTCTGACAAAATATGTATTTGTATATAACAATCATCAACATGGAATATCTTAGCTATGATTAGTATAGGCATTACTAGAACTTTTAAAATGATTATTAATTGATTTTGTTTAATTTCTTTATAGGTTCGAGAAGATTGAACGATTTGGTTGGTTGTTACAAATGAATACAGATAAGACGCATTTTATCATTTCATTCAACAACTAGTTAATCAGGTATTGTAAAGTTATATTCTTTAAATTGCTTGAGCTGTCGGTATAATGTTACATTGATTGAAAAGATGTTACCAAAATATTAGGAGATTTTAACTTCTTCAATCAAGGTAGAAAGTATGATTTGGAAGGGTGACATATGAGTGTGTTTAAATTTGAGTGCGTTCTCATCTTAGTGAATTCCCATTTAAGTGCATCTTATTTGAGTGTGTTTTCAATGACACCACTCATTCTTTTGATCGATTTTCTATCGTCACTATTTGATATTAAATCCTTAGTGGCTAGCAATATTTTATTTTAATTTCAAAAGGATCATGAGCATTATTTTGACAATGCGATTTCATTTTAAGAAGAAGTGCTACTATGCACGTTTAGTAGTAACAAAAGATAATCTAACGATTGAGTTAGACTTAGATTAAAACCATCTGTTATACGTTGTACCGTTCTGTTGAGTCTTTGATATCTTAATTTCGGTTTCATTTTATGTCGTATATGTAATGGTGTCGAATAGACTACTTTATCATAGGTGGATTGTACTAAATGTGTTGATAGAAATGGAATTCCCGAAATAAAAGATCACTAGGCGCTAAGAATTAATAACAAACAGTAGTGACAGCAACGGTTCAAAAGTTTCAAAATATTTTCAAGAATGAGTGGTGTAATTGAAAACGCAGTCAAATTCGACGTGCAAAAATAAGATGCGCTTAAATAAGAATGTGCTCAAATGAGACGCCCTAAAATAATAAGCACTCAAATGAGACACACTCAAGTAAAACCCTATCGTTTGTTACATTGATCCAAGTTACTTCCTCATATCTACAGAAGAGTGGATTAGGATTTTTCTTGGATGACAGATAGTGTTCAATCGCACTTGTGTTCACTGTCTTCTTGATCATAGAGGCTGATGTTCACGGTGAATCGGAGGCTACTACTAAAAGTATCTTTACTGTGAATTCTAGCTGATCTTTTCGCATGATCCCTAGGTCCTTCCTGAAATTTGTTTCAAAGTCTACTTTCATCTCAAGCTGTTGTTTTTGATTGATTTTTTTAACAAGTTATTCGATATGACATGAAAATTTGGATAAGTCTGATCACAACTAATTTGATCAGGATTAGAGAATATATTAAATTCTCTAAATATTTAGTGTAATAATCTAATCTCCTATTTGTAAAACTACGAAAACTTTGGGAAGTATGATTTCCATATGAGCAATGTACCTGTGGTATATTGAAATGTGTTTTTTAACCACAAAGTGCTTGTATATTAAGTATATTGAAGCGGCATGATAGTGTACATTCTAGTCTCATGAATTTAGCAAGTATCTGTTGTTGCCCGTGAGACAGTATAGAGTCGCTACAATTCATTTGATGGTCTTTTCTCTCTGCAATAAAATGCATCGATGCTAGTGAAGACAAGTATATGAGACACCGATAGATAATATACCTTTTTTCTGTTTTTTATCGACCTTAAATGCTTATATACGCTATTTTCATTATTGTCTGAAGGAGGTTTTTACACATCATCACCAAGATGGCCGCCATGCCGTTTATGAATTGCCATTCTGTAAGAGTAACAGCAAACAGAAATAAGATAATAGGTTTTCACCAACTGAAATTTTAGTTAAATATATTTTGAATATTATATGTCTACAACATTTTGCAACGGAAATATAATCATAATTTGTTGATGTGCATTTGTTCAAGTGCATTTGTTCAAGTGGATCCGAAATATTTTAAACCTTTTTTAGATGTTGAAAGATGAAAACGATGTTGCCCTCGGAAATGCAACTGACAGGTATTGATATAAGATGATAATGGAAAGAGGAAAAAAGGCTTTGTCTCTGTTTCCTAGATCCACGCGTATAGAAGTATGAGCTTGTACTCCGATTGCATTAAAAAAAGCTTTTTTTATATATTCAAGTTTTGAACTTTTTAAATATTTTGAACATAAAGCTAAAGTTTATAAGCGTAAATTGGTCGTTACGCTCTACATTTTTATGATAAAGTAATTTTTTCTATCTCCATATATCCTCTACCTCAAAGTACGTTGCGTGGGCGGTGGGAAAAAACCATTCTTCGTCAGTCTTAATTTTGAACAGTCTAGTTTTTATCCTCTTTTAGTAGTATACACCGTATTTTGCTTATTGTCACACTTCTTTCTCACTGCTGTAATAAGTAATTTTTTTAAAGCAGTCTTGTCTTTTTGTAAACTGCAGGAAAATCATCTTCCGAACAAAAATTTCTCAGAAAGATATTTATCTTTGCAATAGCAGTGAATCCTGAAATTGTATTAACCGATCTGCTACTTTCTTCTTCGGATCTGCGCTTTCAATCAACATGAAGGTCTTACATATAATGGTATAATTTGAATTTAGAGTTGATTAGAGGTCATTATCAAACCAATTATCCAAACTAGTTTTCTCTTCACAGCTAAAAGAACGATGTGCGAAAGCAAAGAAATAGTATATAGAACTTATAGATGATGTATAATTGTAGATTGATCCTTTTTTTTCCTTAAAAAACGGTCAGAAATGTGTTTTTCTTCTCTCAAAGAAAAATGATTTATGAGTCATCTCTCTCTTGCCAATTGGTCGTTTCTATATCCAATAGATTTTTCCTTTTTGACAACTCGAAAGTTGTCGTTTCGCAGCTAAAGTCTTTAACTTTACGGTCTCTACCTTCTGGTGCAAGTCTCAAGCTTTTTGTATGAAACGTATTTTTATTAATCAGGTTTTTCAACCGCAAGGATACCGACAAAGACGTATAGTAAAAAAATTTTTAAACAAAGAAGGATTTTGCGTGAATACTTGCTTATATGAAGATATTTTTTGTTTTGTTTTTTGTAGTGAAGTGGAAGAATCAAATTCTGTGCAAGATGAAGACGAAGTGGACTATATTGAATGCAATGAATCAATAATTCTAGAGAACACAGCAGCTACCGTTTCTTCTTCAATCTCCGTTGTCACTTCACCGAATGTAGCAATAACGGCTAGTATCAGGAGTCCTGGCAATGAAAAGAAAGAACAAAAGTTACAGAATACTCAAACTGTAATAGATTTACTTCAAGATGATGATGATGATGATGAAGATCAGATTGCTTTAACTCAACGAATTTCTATACAAAGAAAAGCACAATTAGAACTATCTGAGGAAGAAAGTGATGAGGATTTATCTGAACCAGAGGTGAACAGTGATGAAGAGGAAGATAGTGATGAAGATTACAAGAAAAGAAAAACAACAACAAAACGTAAATCTACTACGACGATATCTAAACGAAAAGCAGTAACCAGACAACAGGTGGGAATTGATTCAATCTTTATGTAAAATTTACTGTAGAAACGCACTTGATCTATTTGCAGTATACACTCTCATTTTGTTTTTCATCTTTCGAGCTTTTGAATACTATAAGAATTATTTTGCTTTCCGGCAAAAATACAACTTGTGCCTAAATAAAAAATGATCATTGTACAAGAAGTTACTAGACTTTAGACAAGAACTTTTTACGTTTCTGAAACGCTTCTCTTTTCTATATCTATCTTTCTCTTCTCTTCAAGGTAGCTCGTTCTAAAACTACTACAACAACAATTTGCTCATCTCAGTTATTATCCACAACGAATCGTAAACGTCAACGTACATCATCATTAAAAAATTATGCGTCAACAATAAAAAAAACACGCTCATCTTCATGTACCAAACGTAAAATTCGTCGTACCGCTGCATCAAATTGTATCAATTATCATGAAAGTTCAGACGATGAAGATAGTGATTCATACTCGCAACAGCACCAGCAGCAAGCCCATAATTTCAATAAAGACGATGATTCAACTGGTTCAAACGAGGATCATTATAAACGGAAACATTCTTCATCTTCTCATAGTGATTTAATAACAAATACGTCCCAACGTCAAACAAAAGTTCGTAGTCCAGAAAATCTAATATTATCCGGTAGCGATACTGCTTTGTTGGATGAATCACAATCAGAGACAATTGAAAAAGTATTAAAAGTGAGATTAGGAAAAAAAGGTGAAACAGGTCCATCGACTACTGTGTATAATACAGATGAATGTGGAATGAATCAAGAATACAATGAACAGGTACAAATTGAAAGTGATGAAGAGCAATATTTAATTAAATGGAAAAATTGGTCATATTTACATAATACATGGGAGTCAAGATTAAGCTTGGAACAAGCACATGTGAAAGGTAAAATTCAAGTACCAATAATTCTGTCGGTACTCATTTAATCTATCTTTAAGGTTTGAAAGTAGTGGATAACTATGTAAAATTGTATGAACAAACTCAAAACTGGCGAAACACCACAGCAAATATTGAAGAAATTGAATCGTACGAATGTGAACAAGAACAAAATGAGCAATCACTTGTTCGTTATCAACAAGTCGAACGAATTATAGCACATGAGAAAAATCGAAAAGATGATACAACAATGTTGGATAGTTACGATTATCTTTGTAAATGGGATTTACTCCCCTATAGTGAATGTACATGGGAAGATGGAACATTGATATTAGAACGTTTTCCATTAAAAATCGACGAATATAATCAACGACAGCATACACAAGTAGAAGAAAATAAAACAACAACATCATCAAACAGAATCAGAACGAGACCGAGATTTATTCAAATACAACAACAACCAACCTATTTAGTACCAAATAGTAAAGATCAAGAGTTCAAACTTAGAGATTATCAATTAGAAGGTTTAAATTGGTTAGTACATTCATGGTCAAAATCAAATTCAGTCATATTAGCCGATGAAATGGGATTGGGTAAGTAATGTAAAACGATGACATTATTTCTTTCAATTAAAAATAGTGTTTATATAAGTACACTTTTTAATTCTTTTGATCTGCAAACTTATTTTAATAATATTTCATTTCAGGTAAAACAATTCAGACAATTTCGTTTTTATCTTATATATTCAAAGAACATCATGTTCATGGGCCGTTTTTAATTGTTGTTCCCTTGTCTACCATTCAAGGATGGCAACAAGAATTTCTACGATGGTCACCATCAGAAATGAATACTATCGTTTATATCGGTGATATGTTATCGCGTGAAAAAATACGTCAATATGAATTTTATTCGACAGGAAAAAATCTCAAATTTCATACTCTTATAACTACATATGATTTTTTACTCAAAGATAAACAATTTTTAAATTCGATACAATGGGCCATTTTAATGGTTGATGAAGCACATCGATTAAAAAATGATGACAGTGTACTCTATCGAACATTAATACAATTTAATTCACAACATAGAATATTAATTACAGGTACGTGAAAAAGAATTTGATAAACTATGTATACTCTATTTGGATAGAAAACAAAATAGATTTTCAATAGAAATAATTTTTCAAATAATGAGAATTTTCATTGTTCTAGGTACTCCATTGCAAAATTCTCTTAAAGAATTATGGTCATTATTATATTTTATCATGCCACACTATTTTGATGATTGGACAAAATTTGATCTGAAATATTCTTCATTGTTATCAACAAACAATACAAATCTTGTTCAACGATCAACAGAACTTCATAAAGAATTGGAACCATTTTTATTACGACGAATAAAACGAGATGTTGAAAAATCTCTACCAGCTAAAGTTGAACAAATTTTACGTGTAGAAATGACACGTGTACAAAAACAATATTATAAATGGATTTTAACAAAAAATTATCGAGCTTTGACAAATGAAAGAGGTGGTGCACTACCATCATTTATCAATATTATGATGGAATTGAAAAAATGTGCTAATCATGCTTTCTTTGTTAAACGAAACGATGAAGATACAGTAACACTTGATGTAAATTAATAATATTATTAATATTTAAATTTTTGTTTTCATTTTTAATTTATTTTAGGAAATAATCAAAGGTAGTGGAAAATTACTACTATTGGATAAATTATTAATAAAACTACGTGAGAGTAATCATCGTGTATTAATATTTTCTCAAATGGTAAAAATGTTAAATATTCTCGCCGAATATTGTGCATTAAGAAGATTTCCATTTCAGGTATGATTAGAGAAATTATTTGATATATATATATATATATATATATATATACGTACTTTCGAACCATTTTTTATATATCTTGCAGGAGAAATTACAGTCAACATATTCACAAACACGAAAACTTAATTATCTGACTTTCGAGCTCGAATTTTAGTTTTCTGAAAAGCGTACGATGTTTATGAACATCAACTGAACAGTGACTGCGAATCTAAAAGTCTCTATCCGATCAAAATATAGCCATAAGTTCGAGTCCAGGTCACAAAATGTTTACGGATCAAATTCTACTCACAAATTATAGTTTTTAGACTCGCAATCATTGTTTGTAATCTTCACCTGATATCGATAAACATTGTGCACTTTTCAGAAAACTAAAATTCGAGCTCGAAAGTCGGATAATTGAGTTTTCATGTTTGTCAATATGTTAATTTGAATATCTACTACTAGGAACTCTAAATTTCCAGTGGATTTGAATTTCTCCAGCAACACATATATTTGAAAATGCATAAATATTGAAAATCGTTTGAACCTATTTTTATCTAAAATGTCATTTGTCTTTGTTTTAGAGATTAGATGGGTCAATGACAAGTGAAATTCGTCGACAAGCATTGAATAATTTTAATCGTGAAAATAGTGGAGATTTTATATTTTTACTTTCAACAAGAGCCGGTGGTTTGGGTATTAATTTAGCAACAGCTGATACTGTAATTATTTATGATAGTGATTGGAATCCACAAAATGATCTTCAAGCTCAAGCACGTGCTCATCGTATTGGTCAAACAAAACAAGTGAATATTTATCGTTTAGTTGCTAAACAAAGTGTTGAAGAAACTATAATTGAACGAGCAAAACAAAAAATGGTTTTAGATCATTTAGTTATTCAAAGAATGGATACAACAGGACGAAAATTATTTCAAAATTTAAATCAAAATTTAACAATAGATACTACAGAAAATACAAAAACCTATTCAAAAGAAGAACTTAATGCTATTATTAAATTTGGTGCAGAAGATTTATTCAAAGAAAAAGATAATAATCTTGATACAGGTGAAGATGAATCACAAAAAATGGATATTGATGAAATATTACAACGAGCTGAAATGAGACAAGATGACACGTATATGAGAAATTCGAGTGAAGATTTATTATCACAATTTAAAATAGGTAATAATTAGTATTATTAAAGTTTTGATCAGTAAATATAAGCAAGAAATATTTATCTATTTAGCTAATATTTCTACAATAGAAGATGAAGATGATGTAACTACTAAAATATCAACATCAAAAAGTTGGCACGATATTATACCCGAAGAAGATCGTTTAAAATATGAACAAAAATGCTTGGATGAATTATTAATTTTTCAACCTCGTAATCGAAAACGTGTAGAAAAAAACAATCAAAGTATAGATAAAACTGTTGAAAATGATCAAGATGAAATGTCAGTAACATCACCTTTAACATTAACAAAAGATAATTTCATACATAATTTTAATTCAAATGAAATTCGACGATTTATTAAAAGTTTTAAGAAATTTCCAGATGCTTTGAATCGTCTCGATATTGTGACTATGGATGCTGAGTTAGAAGAAAAATCACGTAAACATATTGAACAATTAGCTCAAAAATTATATCAGGAATGTACAATAGCGATAAAACAAGATGTAACGACACCATCGACAAATACAGATATTGAGCAAGGTCAATATGAAGGCTACCAAAATGAGCTAAAAATTTAGATATTTTTATTTTTAGATGATGCACCGAAAAAATCTTGTTCATCTCGTAGTCTAACAATTCGTATTCAAGGTGTGAATATTAATGCTCTACAAATAATCAATTCTATTCGCGATTTGGAACCTTTGAAGAAATTAATAACAAACACGAATACACAATCAAAACGTAAAACATTTTCGTTTCCATCATTAAATGTTAAACCGGTTCATTGGAATTGTCCATGGTCAGCAGACGATGATAAATCTCTACTTTACGGAATCTATGAACATGGTTATAGTAATTGGGAACAAATTAAAATGGATCCCGAGTTGAGTTTGAGTTCAAAAATTTTACTTAATGATAAAAATCGTAAACCACAATCAAGCCATTTGCAAACACGCGCTGACTACCTGTTGAAACTATTAAAAAAATATTTTGATCTAATTGAAACAAAAAAAAAGACGTTAACAACAAAAAAACTAAAACTATCATCATCTATGGCAGATGAAAATAGAAATGATACAGGAAAACGACAAAAACAAACGATAAAAGGTAAAAAAGAACATATACTAAAATCACGAGAGATAATTGATAATTCGAGTGAAGATGATAATAAACCTACGACAAGAAATAAAAATCGTAAATTATTACATCACAATCATAAACATCAGCAACGTCATCATAGTAAAAGTGAAGAACAAAATGAATTACAATCTATTTCGAATAAGGTGAGACTTCGATTTACACGTAGTATACTCAATATTCGTTTAAGTATTCTAATCTCTTTTTAACACTGCAATTTCAATACTTTTCTTTAGACTAAAGATGTACAATTGGGAATAAAGAATAAAGAAATAAAAATTGAAGATGAACGTGTTGATAATAGTGTAAATGATTCAATTGAATATGCAGGACTTGAAAAGAATGTTTTTAAACAGGTAAGTGATCTTTAACAATGTCTCATTGCTCGCTTAACATTTTTATTTCTAGTGTAAAGAATTATTGCGTCCAGTTAAACAATGGTTTGGTAGTTTGGATTCGCCAGAAGAAGCATTTGATTCCTATGACGATTATATCAACGATTTTGAAAAATGTTTACTAAAAATTGGTGATCAAATACAACTGGCATTGAAACAACAACACAACGAAAAAGAATATCATAAACATCGTCAAAATTTATGGACATTTGTCTCAAAATTTACATCAAAATTGACAGCAGACGACTTAAGAAAACGTTATCGAACAGCATTAACAAAACGAGAAGAAAATCCACCACCAAAAACTGTACCAGCATCAACGACAACTTCTGCAACTGGTGAGACTTGACTATTTGACAATCGGTTATAGTAGGAGACATATTTGAACGATGATGTGCCAGTGAAAACTGGTACCTAAGCATCAAAGAGGTACTCTCGCACAGATGAATCAAAACTAGAACCGAACATTTGTAATGTTTTCTGCTCGAACAACTATTTCAATTTACCTATTGTTCTTTTATATGTAGGACTATCAACTACAATAAGCACAACAACTTCTAAATTGAATTTAACAAAAAATTCTGTAAATAATAATCTTCGCTCTGTAAAACAAAACGAAACATATCGACGTGCTGGTTGGTGTTCAAAACAAGAATTATCATCCACATGTTCTCCGTCCACTGCTTCATCATCATCACAATCTCTTCGAGTTTCCCGTACAAAAATGTACTCAAATAATCATTCAAAAGATCCAAGATTGAAACATACTGTTAGTGCACCACTACCGCTGCCACCATCACTTGCTCATACTTCTTCTATGCAAACAATCATTGGATCAACAAATGCAGGCACGACAAATACTTCTGAAGGCTCCCGGTCATTACCAAATATTTATAACAGTGAAAGTAACAATAGTATTAGTAATGAGAGACGAGATAGTCGATCAAATACATCATTTGGCACAAGATTTCATAATGGTAATATTGACTCTTTATCATCATCGGATTATAGATTTCACCGAGATAAAAATAGTGATAGAAAGTAAGCTTGTGTGTCTTACAGGCGCACGCTTTTTTTTCATTTTTTAAAGCGTGTTGTTGTGAAAATTTGTTTTATTTTCAGAGATAATCGTGATGTGAAACAATACAATGGTCAGTCTCAGTGTAACACTGGTAATCTTTTAAATAAATCAGCTAGTTATCCATACGAACAACGTTCAAATTCTTACGGAAATTCAAATTTAAGAGGACAAACATCTACCCCATCCACAAATACAATTTCATCATTATCATCCGTTTCTATGCCTCTTATTCAACCACCGAATTCATTTCTCTACAATACTACAGCATCCGATGTGTTTCAAACAACGTATAATCAATACCATGATCTCTATTCGACACAAGCATTCATACCTCCCACATTCATTAAACAGGATCAGACAATGTGTTTAACAACTGCAATGATGTCACCGTCGTCTATACCAACAACTATGTAAACCAAAAAAATTTTTTTCACATTAATGAATAGTTAGTATTTTTGTTTTTATTCATTTCAGTTGTCCAAATGGGCTGAACTAGATGTCGCATATGCTCGTCAACAGGAGTAACAAAAATAGTTTTCTTAAACTTTATTTTTTTATTCTTTATATTGTCATGTGATATTGTTGTTTCATTTTTTTTCACTTGAATGTGCGCTATTTTATGAAAGATTGTCGCTATTTAGAACTATTTATTTTAGTTTTCTGACGTATATTTACACGTTATCTATTTTTCTAATTCTCAGTGATCTCGACGGTGATGAATTTTTTATTACTAAAAAGGAATGAGCGCATTTTCTTGTACCTGTAGAGAGAGAAACTTCTTATTTTTCTGCGTTAGTTTCGTTCTTCTCTTTGCTTGTGTATTATTGTTTTGTCTTTTCCGTATAACATAAATTTCTGATTTTCATACATAAGAACATAGCTAGACAGAGATTGAAATAATGCTAACATATGTTACTATTTTAGCCGTTCCAGTGAGACTCGAGAAGGCTTATTCTGTTCCACTATAAAAATAATTTTTTGTCGACTGAGTAAAACGATAAGAGACTTACTGCTTTTCACTTCGGCGTTGCCTAGCAAAATTCTTCTTTGTTTCTACACTATGTTTTCTCGTTCGAGTCAACTACTTGTTCTCGGTTATCTCTGGTCATACACATTTGGTGATAAGATGATTTGAAAGCAGACGAACTGTAGATGACACATCCGAAGCCAGTTTTTCGATTTACGTTTTGATTATCACATAATTAATCCCACAAAATGAGTATGTATTTTATAAAACTTAACCGTTTTTTCTATGAGATAATTAATGATCACATGATACTTAACAGTGAATACAGACTATATTTTCTTTAGAACAGCAGTATACTTGCCCCATAGCGTACATGCTTTTTACGTGTGTTACAGTTTCGACTACTAAATAAATCTATGGATACCTATTGTAGGAATGTATACATAAACTGAAATTATCGAAATATATTCTCAGAGTTTGAGATAAGTAATGATAGTCTGACAATTAAATAATATAATGGTATTCAATAGGAAAATTCAAAATGAAACACACAAACTTATAGTGACTCATGTATTGAGCTGTCTTAGGGGATTCATACGGTCTCTAAGAAACGTTTCACTCTATCAGCTTTCCAATTTGCCCGCAGGATAGTTAGCATCTAGTGCTCATTGTTAGTACTTGCTTATTCATTCCTTTTTATGATAAGAAACTATTAAAAATGAATTTTGAACGTAGATCTATGGCGATAAATGAAATCTTATTTAGAAATGGAATTGCGGATAGTGCGAGCTTTAGCTTTCTAGTTTAAGAATACTTTCCTTTTCAGAAGTAAAAAGTTTTGTTTTTCACAAATCAGTTTGGCACTTTTCTATATAGAGTCAAGTGTTCTCTTTAAAATGACAGCGGTTCCGATGCTTGAAAAGTTACGAGTTTCTCGAAATTTTCGAGAAGTACAATAATTCATTATTTTTCACTTTTATAAATTCTTAGCATACAGAGAACACAATTTGTCTATGATTCTAAGCCTAAAAATGTGTGCAGATAACAATACATTATAACGGCAAGGCCCATCGGATACAATCATATAATAAATTAACAGTTCTAACATACATTTTCAATTTCAACATAGAAAAAAGTTTTTTTCTAGAAAATACAAAGACAAACATACATACACACACACACACAACAACAGAAAAAAATCACTCATAGTTTATAAGAAAATTTAATCTTATAATGCCAACAATTTATCAAAAAACAAGCAAAAGAACTAAAAACGTGCAATCTATCATGTGCAAGACGATTTCCAGAAAAAATGGAAGATATGATGGAAAAAGTTAACAATAAACAAACGATGTCTTCAAGAGAAAGAAGAACATACACAATAAATGTTTTAAACTATATTGATCGCCAAAAAGAAAAATAATATTCTGTTTTCTATCAGCTACTGATATTTCATAAGGCTCGTCCAACAATGAGAAAAAGAAGTTTATAATTTATAAAATTGTAATCGATTAATAATTTTTACGGCCACATATATATCACCCATTTTTCCAACATTTCTAATATATCCACCCTTTCTGTAGTCAACTGATTTTATTTTCTCATCATCTTCATCATCATTAAAAATATAAAATTTTTCTTTATAATCTGTTGCTAACCATTGACTACCATCGATATGTGAAAGTAAATGTAAATTAAAATCACTTTT